ACTTTAATCAAATTCTTTATCTGTAATTATATTAAAGTGAAAACATTACTCAAAAATTGGAAAATCAAAAGTAAACATATTTTTATAGAATTAAGTACACAAGTATATATTTTTTCTTTACCGAGCCTTCTTAGTTCTTCGATTAAATAATTGATTGAAAATATTAAAAGGTCCAATATTTTGAGTACCATTTGAATCACCATTTTCGTTTGGTTGTGGAATGAATAAGATAAATAACTTTTTCACCCATCGTTTCTATTAGTATATTTATTTTATAAATTGGTGACACTATATTATTCAGTAGAATGGATGATATAAAATAAATGAAGGTAGAACTCTGAGAAGTTAAGTGATATCAGGTCTAAATATTCGAAATGGGTAACAAAAAATAATATAAACAAACGTCCGTGAAAACTAATGAGATTGTTTGCATCAATGTTTGTATGTCAGTTGTATAGCGTCTAATGTAGAGCACAGTCTACATTACGTACTTGCTACATTTGAACCTAAAGCATGTATGCTTGTATGAGCGGTTAGAGGTCCCCACTACGAAACCCGTAGTGGGGATCTCCAACCATAACTCAAAAGAGAGATTCAAACAAGAAAACAAGATTATAAACTCACCAACAGCTATAATCCGTTGTTTAAAATAACTATCAAAGAAACTTTTCTAATTTTGATAACTAGTTTTTCTCGACTTGTATAACTCGACTTTTTTATACATTGTTTATTTATTTTGACAAAGTTATATACGTATTTTTTTAGAAGATCAACCATTTTTGGCAAGATAATGTTTTCAATGCCAATCATTACTAAGCATTATTAGAGACATTTGCAAATTGAAATAATTTTACGTAAAAGCAGGTTTAGTATTGTTCAAAATCATCATTGTCTTGAAATCAAAAATATTTGCGTTTAATAGAGATTCTGCCCCCCCCCCCAGTAGCACAGCTGTATGTCTGCGGACTTACAACGTTAGAGTCCGGGTTTCGATACCCGTGGTGGGCAGAGCACAGATAGCCCATTGTGTAGCTTTGTGCTTAACTTAAAACAAACAAACAATAGAGATTATATTAATATATACTGTGAAAATCCCGTTCACAGTAATGGAATTTAGTGCTAAACCGAGAAGGCTAACTACTTTTGCTTTATGTTTCTCCAGCTATAAAAAGTTAAGAACATTGTAGTATCTATATAGTTGAAAAAACGATCATTTTCGAGACTGTATAAGATCAATCTCTAATAAATTTTATAGTAGGCAAAACTGTAAATAATACTCCAATACCAAGTTAAAGCAAAACATAGCTTCGTAGAATACTCCTTGAAAATACTGAAAGGATGTAATAGCTACGTAGGTGATGTAGTTATTATGAATTTCACACGACATCAATTCAGTATACGAACAGTAAATAGTTGGTGGTCATGATTTTGACCAACGCTAGATTTCAGTAAATAACACCCATGGTTAAACGTTCTGTTGTACTGAGTGTCTTATCTCAACACGAAGAACTCCCTGTACTAGCTCAATTACATGTTATTAAGATGAGGATCACCACTGTTGAACATATACCTATTATAAAACGTACAGGGGCAAAACAACTCTCGCCGTGTCAGTTGATCTTTCTTCTTCCAGCAAAGTTTACTTCAGTAAAAAAAGGCTGATCGAAAGACGAAGTCCCATTAATATGGCTAAAATTCATGCGAAAATAATTTAGCAGTTAGCACTTTTAGATCTCTAACAGATTAAACTGAAAGGTGATTCAACCTGATTTATACTTCTCGAAGTAATAAAAAGTGTAATCCGCAGTCATAAAACGTCTGAAGCTCATGCTTTGTGAACATATACAAATATTGTAATCGTAGTAATTCAAAAAAATTCTCATTTAAAGGTTTTCGAAGAAGAGAAATGAAAGCAACCTTATATTATAGCTATTTTTTTTTCAAGCCAATAACAAAGTCATGTAAAAACAAGACGGCAAAACTAAAAATATATAAATTGTAGTTATATATTAACCCTGTACCTACTAGAGTTTCATTTTTATGTTGCGAGGCCGAGCAGTAACTTCTTGCCTAACGAAGCATCCTGGGCTGTAAGGTATAATTATCATTCTCTGGTTAGAAAGTGAACTTATCATTAATTATCTACCATTTATCTAACTTATATTGCTGTCCAAGTACAACGTTTCTATAAGTTAGAATTGTAACGGGAATGAAATAAGGAATAGTGTATTTTATTAATCATATTATGTCTTCCCTATGCATACGCCAAATAGGTTTTTAAATTCAGTCAGTAAAGTTAATGTTATACAAATGTATATAAACATTGTAAAAAATGAAACTTAAATTCTGATTCTACTGTCATAAATTATTACTTTTACGTACACATATAATTGTCTTTCCTGCTGAGTCTCGATTGCAACATTTAATTTGATTATTGTATTGTCTTATTTAATTAAAAAATAAAAGTAGTTTAAATGGTTTGCTTCTATTTGTTTTTGAGATGTAAAGAACCCTACATTTATGGTATCACAATTAACGTCATGCTGTGACTTACCTTATGGAGGGAGTGAGTCAGGATTTTAATGAACGCAAGCTTACCGTAAATTATTTGTTCAATTTATTCCAAATTGTAGAGTGCTTGAAATGTCAACGTAAATTTTGAATAAATGAAACGCTTTTTTTTTAGTTTTACTCTTAAAGGAAGACTTAACGTTAAATGAAAACTGTGGACAAACTGGCAACTGACAAAACCTTGAAAGAACGGGTCAAATAATGTTTTCGAGTGAAAACTGTGGACAAACTGGCGACTGACAAAACCTTGAAAGAACGGGTCAAATAATGTTTTCGAGTGAAAACTGTGGACAAACTGGCAACTGACAAAACCTTGAAAGAACGGGTCAAATAATGTTTTCGAGTGAAAACTGTGGACAAACTGGCAACTGACAAAACCTTGAAAGAACGGGTCAAATAATGTTTTCGAGTGAAAACTGTGGACAAACTGGCAACTGACAAAACCTTGAAAGAACGGGTCAAATAATGTTTTCGAGTGAAATTCTATTTTTTGGAAAACATTTACTTTGGCAAACTTCGATCGGGAAATAATGCATTAATATACGTTAGTCTTGTGAAGCGCTGAGGTAAATATATAATATATGCCTTTTAATATACAAAGAAGTTATTTAGATGAGATAGTTTATCAAACTTAAAAGACATTGATTGCTCTGGATATTACTTGAACTCACGATGATACAAAAGGTTGAGAGCCGTCATCAGGTGCAAACACAGTTCAAAACCAACTCACCACATATTGTAAACGACAAGTAACAGGATCTAAAAAGAGTCATATTGCAGGTAACCAAACAAGTTTAGTGCACATTATAAACGACATTATAATGATGTATCACTTCAATCAAGTGGATGCATTACGATGTACCACCTCAGTGACACTGATAATGTTGTTATGATGTAGCACTTCAGTGACATTGATGGACTATGAAGTAGCACTTTAGTGACGTGGATGCCTTATGATGCTACATTTCAGTGATGTGGATGTATTATTATGCTACATTTCAGTGATGTGGATGTATTGTAATGTAATATTTCAGTGAAGTGGATGTACTACGATGTGTGTTACTTGCTCCTATCTTTACGACTTGCAACAACATCCTGCAATGCACGATTTGTTGAGGTTGATTTTTTTACTTTCTACATTTAGACTATACTTTAAAGTAATTTGTTTCATTTGCCTAACTAGCATGTAGGCAGAACTCGCTGTGACAGTAATGATGATCTGAAGGGCGCCATATGGAGGAGTAATTTATAAGCTTTTCCTTAAACCTAGTATCGTACTATCGGCCAAAAAGAAAAAGAAAAGTGTCTGTGATTTGTATGAGAGATAAAACTTGTTTTATAATTGCCTTCAGACTTGTAAATGTTGAACTATATTTCAGCACTACACACACGGAGAAGAATAATGCAAGGCCAAGAGAGCTGGGCTTTCAAAACGTGTATATAAAATGGCATTACATCAGTATGAACCTAGTAGAATTAAACAAGAGTGAGGAACCGACCTTATAAATAGTAATTAAATTGTTTCAAATCTGATGCTGTAAGTTCAACAATACTTACATGATTTTATTACGTGCACTGAGAAGGTCTGAGACATTGCATAACATATGAACTGAACTTGCATCAATTAACAATTGTAAGCAGGATGTAGTCGTAAACTCAATAATAACCAAAAGTTTCCTCAAGTAAAACACTGATCTCCGTTCCAGATTACTTTAACTTTTAAATATAGATAAAAATGATCGAAATACCGGATAAATAACTGGGGAGGGGAGTAATGACAAAAACACACTCTGTCCCGTATTTAAAAGCTAGACAACCACGTGACAAATCATTAAAACCGTGAGATAAATCACCTGTTTGTAGGAAGTTTTAAATAACCGAGAAGAATCGGCACATTAATCGATATATATGTATATATATATGTATGTGTGTGTTTTTATAATTGATTATCGTATTTTAGATATATATATTAAAAAAATGTAAATTCAGAAAGTAGTGTTTCGTCAGATAAAACTTTTATCATTTGTAAAGTGACTAAATACTGTAGAAGTGTAATACAGATTACAAATGTCTGATTTAGAATATGAAAAGGTACTAGCAAGAGGTTCGACAGAAAAAAATTTTCTTTATTAAATGATTAGAAATCTATTCAGTCAACCAACAATAACACGAAACCTTGCTATATTTATATTCTTGTTTTAGGAAACAACAGCTGTGGTCTACCATATTAAATTTGTTCTCTATACTTGCTCTTGTTGAACATTCTAGAAGATACATCTTTCATTGATAGATGGCAGCACATACAAGATATTCTTAGGATCATTATTATTAAAATTCACCTTGTATACATGATATCGTTAGGGTAAAATGTTATAAGTTGTTGACGTAAGCCTGTTTCAAGCCGACAAATTCTATAAATTATACGAAGCTGTATATTTTTTTCTAGTTGAGTTTAGCAGCATTCATGGCTTCTTCACCTTTAAGATTTATTGATTGTGTTATGAAACAAATTATCAGACAAAACTTCATAACCAACTTAAAATTAAAGCTCCGAGCTTTATCAACTCTCATCAGTTCCGGTAGGTAATTAATAAGATTTACCATGTAGTACACCTTATATTACTGCATGAGTAAGATTAATTGATGAAATGTGTGCTTACATATCCCCTCCCCTCCTCCCATAGTATTGTATGCCATTGCCAGTAAAATACTATCATAATTATAATTAGCATCAATTTTAAAATCACTAAAATCTGAATGAAAAAATTAATATTCTGTGTGATTACTTTCTCACATGTACATTGGAGCGGGTAATTTTATTGGAGCTTTACTTAAACCTAAATTAGTAATCATATTAAAGCTATACTTAAGCCTAAAGTGATAATCCTATTGGAGCTATACTTAAGCCTAAAACTAAAGTGTAATTCTATTGGATTACTACTTTAGATTTAGGTTTAAGTTTTTCTTAAATTATTTTTTACTTTTCAAAGCTTGTTTAATGAAAAACTGTAAAAGTTTCACTCCAGTGGGCTTAACATCACCTAGTGCATAACGTTCTCGGACTGTAGATTTGAGGATTCATGGATCGCGTTCCGTTGCTGTAAAAACTCGCTTCGCACTTTAGAGTCATGGGTGCGCTATAAGAGTGTCTGTTACATCCCATTATTTATTCATACAAGAGTTGAGGCTGAGTTTATTAGTTGCCTTCCTCCTAGGTTATAAGCAGGAAGCCGTTTCCTTAGTTTTGCGCGCAAAGCTGAAACAGCTTAACAAACATTTCATAGCATTTTATAGCACATAAAAGGCTCAACTCATTAAAAGAGTGCTTATGTATAATTTACTATTATTTTTGTAATTACGTTTCGCTCCTTTACTGATGCGTATTTTATTATAATGCAAACGTATAAAACGTGTTTAGTTTAAAAAATTAAAAACGCCATTGTTATAATTCCTGACGTCCAGGAGTTTCTCAACTCATGAAGAAAGTGTGTAGGTGAAATTTTATTATTTTTCTTGTGATTAATTTTTCTTTATTTAGTTATTAGTTTATTAATGTGCCAAAATATTGAAAGTAGCCTATTCTGTTATGTTAAATAATGCAAGATTTACAATGTGATTGATATTTTGTTTTAAAGCTCTATTGTGTGCGTTTTTATTTGTATTCTTGAAGAAAATTAACATTTTCAAGTTGTTAAAGTAAAGATAGAAATTTCTGGTACAGGTGTTCGCTTTTGAAGCAAAATGACCTTGGTCAGTAAAAATCTCGACCTTCAGGAATTGAATGCTGACAGGATGTGGCCTACAAGTTCTGGGAGAAAGCTTTTTCTCACTCACTGTCCCGCTGTGACTTGATTTCTTTATGGTTGGTTCTCATGTTAAATTAAACTGTTTTCAGAAAACTTACCAAATAACTTAAGGACTATCAGTGTTCAGTGCATAAGATCCAAACTGATGTCATGAACTAGCATACAAATGATAATTTTTAACTATGTATCTGTAGCTACAATTCTATTTTATTTAATTGACTTAAAATATTCAGTGTTTCTTTTTATATTGAAAATGAGTTTATCTGCAAGTAAAATGTATTTTTTAATAAAATTACGAAATTATATAATGTATAGATGTCATTATCGTAACTCATTTTCAATATAGAGTCTACTTTGAGAAAGTTAATTTCAGGTGAAACAAAAATACATGACAAAACGTCATTCCATAACAATTTCAAACAGACAATCTCTAATTAAATGCAAACATTGAACCAAATGGTGCTTAACGAATTATTGAAAGAACAATGTTTCTAATTTGTAATGGAATTATAATTTTTTTAAAAAACACCTATCTCACAGAACTTCGATTGGAAAATAATGCAAAAATATATGTTAGTAAATGTTGACGTAAGTATGTGAATAGACATCTTCATAATAAACACGTTAGTTATATAGATGGGTCGGTTTCTTAATTATAAGAGACGAGAAATTGTGTTGCTAAATTATTTTGCTCGTCTCGTTATTATGAAGTGGAAAAATAATGAGAAAATGAGTGACTGAATGAGGACATGTAATTATGTTACTAGAATAACTTTGTTAGTTTCATTAATATAAAATTCAAAAAAGATTATTGAGTGACTGAACGTGTCTATGCTAGTTTCCATAATGATGTTGCAGAACAAACCACTTGATAAATAAGTCTTGTGAAGCCACTGGTTCAGTTTTCAAAATGTTAGAAATTCTGGCAGATCAAGTCATCCAGAATACATGGTCAATTACAACGAAGAACGTAATACTTGGTTTTTATGTAACCTGTTGGCATACTGGGTGAAATATATATGTTGTCATTTTCTCAGGTATTTCATATCTAATATTAGAAAACTCAGTTTATTGCCGCAAAATAACATAACCGTAGCAAATGCTCAATCTCATAAATTATATCCGGTGAACTAATTCCGCAAAAATAATTCAGTATTTTACGAATAAACTTAGCGAACAGTTTGGCATTATGGACAGACAGTTATAGTTATATTAGCAGTTATAGTTACAGAAACTCAAGAGGTAACAGTCAGTATAGTCCATGCACAACACATTAGTTAAAATACATAGACAACTGTTCTCATTCAGAAATAGTTACTTAAATTGTTTTCACAAGAGCTGTGTACTAAAAATTACGGACCTGTAATTCTAGCTTATCTATAAACATAATCTTTGGAGAAAAATTTATCAATCTCATGAAGATGAGGACGATATGATGTTATTATAGTTAATTTGGCAGTAGGTATATACAGTAAAAAAAATTATTTATTTAACTGACATGGACACATATGTGGTTTTCTTCTGGAGCACTGTCATGTGGATTTGGAATTTGCATTACAAGGAAGAAAGAGTATTCCCATTGAGATAAGTAGTGAAATATAAAAAACATTTGTCTTTTTGTTTTTATTGTGTATCGTGGCAGTGGGAGAGTTGTGTATCTATAAACTTAGCAGCAGAAGAGTTGTTTATTTATAAATGTGATAGCAGGAAAGTTGTTTATCTATGAACCTGGCTGTGGAAGAAATGCATATCTATAAAGCCGGTAGTTGGAGAGTTGTTTATCTATAAAGCTGGCAGTGGGAGAGTTGTTTATCTATAAATCTGGCAGAGGAGAGGTGTTTATAAACGTGACAGTGGGAGAGTTGTTTATAAATCTGAAAATTGTTTTTCTATAAACCTGGCACTGAGAGGATTGTTTACTTACAAACCTGGTAGTGGGAGAATTGTTTATCTATAAACTAAGCACTGGGAGGGTTGTTTATTTATAGACATAGCAACAGGAGAGTTGTGTATCTATAAACTTGGCAGTAGAAGAGTTGCTTATCTATGAACCTGGCTGTGGAAGAAATGCATATCTATAAAGCTGGTAGTTGGAGAGTTGTTAATCTATAAACTTGGCAGAGGAGAGATGTTTATAAACGTGACAGTGGGAGAATTGTTTATCTATAAACTAAGCACTGGGAGGGTTGTTTATTTATAAATTTAGCATTGGAAGGGTTGTTTATAAACGTGGCAGTGAGAGAAGTGTTTATCAATTTGACAGTGGAAAAATTGTTTTTTTTATAAACGTGGCACAGGGAGAGTTGTTTATTTATAAACGTGGCAGTTAATGTAAACAATAACCTACAATGCTAAAAAACACAAGGCTCATTGGCTTTGTAAAGTTTTCGTTTTAAAATTGACACCTTAAGGTATTTAAGCTTTGTCAACTGCAGTGATCGAAACCTAAGTTTTAGTATTATACACTCTCATAGTTACCGTAAAACTGACCTACATAGTACAATATTAAATTAAAAGCTTTCTTGAAGCTCAAAACTCAGGTACAACATCTTATTAGATCAAACGTGAAATTCCCAAAATTATTTCTCGTGAACTATATTTGGTGATTTTTATGTTAACCTTAGTGTTCATTCTTGTAAGTCTTAATTTACTTACAAACTACTGTAAACCAATTCTCTACTTCTTGAATCATTGTTAAATCATTCTTTTAATTTATGTGACTATTACTTTGACTAGTGACTTTATTAAAACGCCCTGACATTTGTAGAGGACTCAGTTTATTTGCATATCAAAAATAGAATGATCATGTGGTATGTCAAGTGGTTTCTTATAAATGTGGAGATGAAGACATATCATGGTTAATCTACAACATAATGGTTAAGAACGAGGATCTTTCTGACTTTCAAAATTGTATGATAGTGGGTGCTTATCTAGTAAGAAAGCCATTATCAAAATAATGTTTCTTTTATTAGCTTTTCAAAGAAATCAATAATAAGAGTTTATCAACAGAGACAAATAAAAGGGAAATACGTCTGCCACTAGGAAAAAAATTGTGCTGCCAAGTACTGAGACTGACACAGGAATAAAGACGATTATATAGACTTTTAAATCGCCAAAGACGTATAACCAAACAATGAGGCATATTATTAAAAAGTGTTTTATGGAAGTTGAAAACCAGACCGAAAAACACTTATCTCAGTTCTAAACAGCAAAATTTAACTGTAGAGATTCTTAGAAGCCAACTGTAAATAATAAATGACTGGAAGCATGTAATTTGATTTCATAAATCGCAATCCTATATTTTGGCAGTGATAGTAGAGTAGAAACATGAAGAAAACCATATGAGGTACTTAACCTTACTTGTGTTTCGACAATGCAAGTTGCTGGAGGTGGTATAATGATGTGGGGTAAGTGACTGTTTCAAGGGTTAGGTTTTTGTGACCTTTAGACGAGCGAATAGGTTCTAGAATGTATCTGAACGTTATTTTTGGCACCCAAATACACAAGAGTTTTTTTCCAAAATGCTAATAGAACAATTCACCGGTCTTGTAATGTCTGAAATTGGTTAAAAGAGCATGACAGTATCTTCATCCAATAGCTCATCTTGAGAATGAACACAAACTTAACATTTCCTCCTCTTCAACGACTAGATTATGATCAAATAAGACACCCTTTGCCATTTTGTAGCTAAGCAGTGTAGAGTTCAACATGCTGGTACAACCTGGCTGTTCGATGTACTTTGCTTTACTAGCAAACTCTAGTGTAATAGAAGGATACCAGTTTAAAATACCTACTATAAACGCTTAAATATTAGTAGGAAACATTTGATGGTTGTGATTTAAACAAATAGTTTTTACCTAATAAGAATTAGCTGAAATTGTGAAAGTGAACAGACAGAATGCAATACAAATTTAAACCCGGAATTACTATACTGGCCACTTTCAATCATTTTGAGAGGATTCTTGGCAGTTTTAAGGATCACGAGTGTGATTACTGGATCAGTTGAAACATAACTTAAGACAGGAATAATCTGTCTTAATGAATACTTGTATTAAAGTAGTTGCCCCCAGTGACACAGCGGTATGTCAGCGGACTTACAACGCTAGAAACCTGGTTTCGATACCTGTGGTGGTCAGAGCACAGATAGCCCATTGTGTAGCTTTGCGCTTAACTACAAACAATATCAAAGTAGTCAGTTAGAAATACTACAACACAACGCAATGTCGTACATGGTGTAAACCAAACGTTTATTTAAAATGGTTTTGTGATTGTCATATACTGTTAATGAATATCATTACTTTTTGTGACTCAGTTAAAAAAAAGTATACCCACCATGTTTCATTCAGATTACAGAAGCATCTCGCATTAGGTATGTTACACAGCTGTCCAAGAATACCACACTAAGATAGTGTGCCTGGAATACAAGTTAAAAAAGTAGAATTTGGCAAAAACAAAAACTAATTAAATATTTTATGCAATTGGTAAGCCATGTAATAGAGAGCCTTAAAAATCGTACAGATATCTCTTTGTGTAGCTTTGTGCTTAATAAAAAACAACAACAAAGTGCCTAATAAAATTTAATATTATATGTATTGGCTTTTTTTTTACTCTCTAAGGACTATGGTTGTATAGTGTACAAAGCATTGAGTATTCTACACGTTACAGTCATCTGATGATCATCTATTATTGGTTGGTAATTCCTGTTTCACCTTTTAGATTTTTAAAGGAACACCAGAAATTTGTAAAAAAGCTAACTTCAAAGGTTATGATAACATTGTTTACACTTATGATTTTTTTCTATTACTATTAGTTATTACGCCTAAGCGATTGCATCGTGCACTGCCCATTAACACATAGAGTGGAATTAGGTTCAAACGGACATTAGTGATAAATTAGTTGTAGAGTTATCTCCACTGAAACAAGAAAAAGAAAGATGAACAATTTGGTGGCTTGGTCACTTTCTGGTTTGGTATCTTAGCGATGGTTTCTTGCCTTGTGTTTGGGCTTGTTGGGTAGAGAAACAAATGAATGTGAGTGGCAATCATCTTTTAAAGTA